CATATACATAAAAAATAATAAACCAATCAGAATCAAGTTATCAATACAATTTGTTGATTGGACCACAAAATATAAGTTCAGTGACAAGTTAATTGGCGAATTAATTACAATTAAACCATAGGTCCATGATTAGACCATGATAAGATGTCGGCAAAATGATTATGTAAGCGATAGTTTATTGGCGGTGCCACTGAACCAGCTTAATGCTAAGACTCATTAACTACAGTAAACAATAACAAGAAATAAAACATAGTAAGATAATAAGGTCCTATATAATTAAAACAATTGTGGAATAGAAAATAAATAGCAGAAATATAAGATATATGTATGAGTTTAAATAATATAATGCATGATATCATGATGACAATTAAAATACAGTTTAGAAATCAATGAATATAAAAAAATGTACATAAGTAAAAATAATATATAGCATATATAGTTAGATACTGTATTCATAGAGAAATATTGTGTATGAAGGCATAATCACATGTAGAGTCTAAGTACTTATTTAGACCCTTAATGTGAGTTTTTAACCGGATTATCCATTTCATTTCTGCGTTACGTCGTTCTTGTGTTGATTTAAAATTGCAACCTATTATTATAGCCCTAAAGTCATTGATGGTGTGGTTAGGTGAATTAAAATGTACACTTACTGGGCAGTTGAGTTTGTGTCTTATAGATGATTTGTGGTTGTTCATTCTAGATAGTTTGACATTACCTTTATGAAAAAAGCCGGGCCGGTCCCCCATTCCCCCTCCCCCACAAAATCCTCCCCTGGCAACAGATGGATGAAGATCTAATTAAATACTCGGGAATTCACATACGCTATTTTTGTAACCCTTTCAGAATCTATTTGGCTTGTTTACAATTTACACCAAATACTAGAAATAGAAGATAGAGTTCTCCACACACAAAAAAGTGTTCCACCGAAATGCATGGTGGGAATACAAACAATGGGACGCCCTCTACAGCTGGATCTAAAAAACTCCTGCCAAACTTTCGTTACCAAGTCGTCGTCGTATTTTATTATCAATTCTCAATTAAAAAATTGTACACCGCGATGCGCTATGGCGACGTACGGCATTGGAGGGTGTTGCTGTGCAGTAAATTGCAACACATCATACAAACAGGGTCATAATTTATATCGATTTATCTTTTTATATCTTTATATATATATATATATATATATATATATATATATATATATATTTATACTTTTTTATCCGGCAATTGATTATATAGGCCTACAATAATTGCATAAACTTGTGTTGTAAATAAATTTTAAGTGAATGCACATTGTTTTAAAACTACATATATGCAGTTCTAATTTGTGATTAAAAATATATACTGTGAGTATCAGAGCTGTATTCAATGTCAATAATAATGGGTTGGAAAAGCATTGAAATCCTCAGCTAATAGGCCTACTAATAGTATGGATCAATAAAGCACAAGAATTCATAATGATGACTGTATTTTGCACTTCTTTACCGACGTCCCGTACCGGTATTATGAGTTTTTACCAATCACTTTTTATTAACTAGATATAAAAACAAACTGGAATAGACACCCAGACAGTGACATCGGTGAATACATAACCTCCTTGGTGGCGGTAGAAATCGTTGCTATTATCCAAATAAAACACTAAACAATTAAAGCATCATCATGAATCAGTAAAGAATAAAACAACAATACAGCGCAGAATCGTATGGCCGGGCGCACAAAAAAAAGCTTTCCTCCATTAGTGGAAAAGGAAGGGCGCCTTTTGGACGATTTCCGCCTCATTATTACAATGCGAGTGCTCTATCTTGTATTTCCAGTATCTTTAATTTACACTCATGGCTGGTGCTAAAAACACTCAACAATCATCGAGGCTAGTTACATTACAATCACATACATTGCTTAAGATTAGCATACTGATTCTTGTATTCTATGTGGAGTCTAATGGTAAGCATTACATACTGTACTTATTAATACTATTCCAAGCAATACGCATAATTGTAGATGTGAGAGTACATCACAGCAAGACGATGCGTTTTTCTGCTTAGGATTTGTCATGTGATTTATTTTAGCAAGAAACAGTGAGCGCTACAGCCATATTGATATTAATTCTAAACTCGCTGCCAGTTGATCATCAAATATCAAATAGCCTACGTATGGAATTATTTTAAGGCGTCTAAATATCCACTAAAATGTATCTCACTTGAAATGTTCTGTATCTGTCACAAAATAAATTAGTTATTGTACTAGTACTTTCGACCATAGGTCATCATCAGGTACTGATAGGATAGTGGGATCAACAGGGTTATATAGAGAACATATACAAAAGAAGCGGTGGTATCGGTAAAGCCTAAAAGGCGGTACTGGCGACATAACGGAACGATGAACATAGTAATACAATATAAACGGCTACGCCTAGAAGGCGTGTATTGACATAGGTCTAACAAAAGAAAACAAATCAAAGGCATAATAAATGTCAGTATTATGGTCACAGTATGCATCATAGCAAGATAGATATAATAACAAATTAATCTCTAAAAGATTTAAATGAGACGTTCAGTCCACGAGGTTTCAAAGTACCTATTTGATAAGTAATACGTTCCTCCAAACGTCTACGATTAAATTCAGATGAATTGCGTTGTTTGATACCAGTAACTAATATATCATTATTAATATCATGATTATCATTAAAATGTTCGGCTATAGGAAGACCTGATGTGTTAAGGTTGATAGAGCGCAAATGTTCAACAAATCTATCTCCAAGCCTCCTTTTCGTTTCTCTTTCAGGCATGGTGAGACGTAAACAAGACGTAAAGTCACATCACAAACAGACAACACAGTTACAGTAAAAAACGGAGATTGCAGCAGAATTGGTATAGTAGATATCCAAATAAATATCAAACAATGCAATTCATCAATTTAATCGTTGGAAATATACTGGCTGTGTAGGGACTGTCTCTTATACACATCTAGATGTGTATAAGAGACAGTCTTTGCCGACGTCCCGTACCGGTATATTTATTATTAATATAATATAAACAATTGTTTTCATATTATTCCCATTGTTTACTTTATATATTTAATAACCTCCTATAACGTCCATACTTAACTACATAACACCTTTTTTTTTAAGCCGGACATCCTTTCTATTGTTTTATACCTATTGTTTAATTGAAATTAATCACTTTGACACACCGACACCGCACTTCCTAAAATTAATTAACTACACAACACCTGTTTTAAACCGCACATCCTTTCTATTGTTTTATACCTATTATTTAATTTAAATTAATCCCTTTGAAACACCGACACCGCACTTCCTAAAATTAATTAACTACATAACACCTGTTTTAAGCCGCACATCCTTTCTATTGTTTTCAATTTCAATACGTCACACACACCAACTCAAATTCATATTTTCCTATTAATAATATTTTATTTATTTATTTATTTTTATTATTTAAAGTATTTATTTATTATTAATATAATATAAACAATTGTTTTCATATTATTCCCATTGTTTACTTTACATATTTAATAACCTCCTATAACGTCCATACTTACTACTCCTAGTTGAAAAGTAATACGTTCCTCCAAACGTCTACGATTAAATTCAGATGAATTGCGTTGTTTGATACCGGTAACTAATATATCATTATTAATATCATGATTATCATTAAAATGTTCGGCTATAGGAAGACCTGATGTGTTAAGGTTGATAGAGCGCAAATGTTCAACAAATCTATCTCCAAGCCTCTTTTTCGTTTCTCCTTCAGGCATGGTGAGACGTAAACAAGACGTAAAGTCACATCACAAACAGACAACAACACAGTTACAGTAAAAAACGGAGATTGCAGCAGAATTAGTATAGTAGATATCCAAATAAATATCAAACAATGCAATTCATCAATTTAATCGTTGGAAATATACTGGCTGTGTAGGGATTGGAGCTCTCATCTGTCCGAGAGAAATAACCTCATTTTGATATTGACCTAAGAAGAATGTGATTCCACTCTGTAGCTCAAATCATGCCAAAACCACAGTCCCAGAATTGATTGGATTATTGACTTGCTAAAAAGAAAATCTTATGATATAAAGGGGCGCTTATTCAAACGGGGCGCTTAAGGAAATGTTCACGTTTGATTCAAACGGGGCGCTTATTCACGCGAGTATGGTATTTATCTAAATGTAAATCATATTCCAGCTCTACCAAACAATGTAACTTTGTATACAAGAGAAGTATTTTATGATATGTCAACCCGAAATTTGTACTCTAAATCAAATGAACGAATTATTCAGTTCATGTAGACATAGACGCAAGTTCTTTTTACGATATACTACTCAATCCTAAGGCTTTTTATCCATCTAAACAATAGAGACTTAATCACTTGGTAATTAGCATACTTTTGTTCTGATAAACTGTCACAATATTATGTACTTCGTTATTCCTTCACTCAGACCCTAGCACCTGATGATTGAGGCACCCCTCATAAAACAGCCTGTAGTGCAATAAAATGTTGAGTTTTTAACCCAGTGTTACATGTTTTATTTGCCTATCTGCTCTGATATGGTTTACGGTAAGAATGGCCCCGGAAAAAATGGCCAAGGAAAAAATGGCCCCGGAAAAAATGGCCCCTGTAAACATGGCCCCAAATGACAGGTAGGTAAAAATGGCCCCAATAATACAATTCTTTATTAAAACTGATTTTTAAAAATCATTATAGGCCTATGCATTTTTTAAAACTGAAATAATTTAGTTTTTAAAAAGGCATCTAACATCAAATAAATTGCCATTTACATTTTACTTTTTGCAGGAATTACATATTCAATGATAAAATATTCAAAGATAAAAAAGCCATGAATAACCCTTTTTTTTTATTTAAATGTTAAAAAATAGCAACAACATAATCAATAAATCAACATAAATCATGCATTTATTAATACTAAAATAATTCAGTCACGCTTTACATACAGACGTTGATTGAAATTTTGGAGGAAAAAAAATGGAAAAAAATTAAAGCATGAAATAAAAAAAGTGCATAAGAGAATTATTATTAAATAAAATATACCATTCGTTGGCGTTATTAAACTTGACAAACCTTGTAATGTAATTAATGTTAAATAATAAATAATAATAAAAATAATAAAAATTTCATTCAGCATTAATTACCTTGACCTAAGCCTTGTAATGAAGAACCATACTATTTACTAGGCCTATAAATAATAACGCGCCCAGGGGGAATATCTTTTGTGTTATTTCCCTTAAACGTCGAATTTTTAATTGTTCTCTAATTCCTCCATTGTCTAAGTTCCCCTTAATGTAGGCCTACAGGTTGGTTTTAGTAACATAAGAATAATTAATAATAATAATAATAATAATAATAATAATAATAATAATAATTTCAGCATTAATTACCTTGACCTAAGCCTTTTATAATATTTACTAGGCCTGTAATTATTAACTAGCCCAGGGGGAATATCTTTTCTGTTATTTCCCCTTAACGTCGATTTTTTAATTGTTCTCTAATTCCTCGGTTGTCTAGGTCTAAGTTCCCCTTAAGGTGGTGGTGGTGGTAGTAATAATAATATAATAATAATAATAATAATAATAATAATAATAATAATAATATTAACAATAACAATAACAATAATAATAATAATAATAATAATAATAATAATAATAATAATAATAATAAATCATTTCGGCATTACATGTAATTAACCTGGTCTAGTCTTGTAAACAATTTATACAAGCCTCATTTATACATTCATTAGTGCTCAGCCATTTTGGCAGGTCTTATGGTATCCAGTATTTTAGAGCTGCCTCTTCTCATCTCTTCTCTTAATTTGAAAATAACTGTCACCCTGTTTCATTTGATCAAACGCTCCGAGAAACGCGCTTTTCCTTACTCTCTGTGCTTTCCCCAGAAAGCGTATATTTTTTGTAGTTAGGCCCATGTAATTATGCAGAACCCAGACCTAACTAAAAAATAAAAATTGCAACAGTATGTAACTCAAGTTAAAATAACACTTTTTTACTCGTGCAGCTCAATCAAATATTGTGTCTATTTAAACGACCCAGTAATATTAGCATGGTAACATCAATGTATTTTAAAAAATTAGACAGCGACGTTCTCTCAGATCAGAAGTTGTTGATGACCTTTTGACCTGAATTCTGCAATATGAGATTTTCGGGTCGATTCAGTCGAGACGGCCCGAGTGGAGTTTCATGTAAATGTTTCGTACGGGGAAAAAATCGCTCCCGGAACGCCGCCCTGAGCGGCGAGTGCGAAGCACAAATCAGGGTCAAAAGTGGAACGTGAAATTTGGATATGGTTTTTTAGTCAGATTTGCGAGAAAAACTTCAGCTACCCGTATTTCTCGACTGAGACGTCTGTGGGAGCTGTAATTTGTATGGCAAGGAGATTGTGCAACCCTTAATTCGTATCAAGAGAATTTACGCCCAGAAACCTTGTAGTTATTAATATTTTGGTTATAATAGAAAATATTCATTTTTTTTGGTGACGTCACACTTACAATATATTTAGCATGCATACGTCATAAGCTAGATTACGTCACCATTTCCTGGTAAGGCAAACTATCCCGGCGTGCTTTTTCATGGATAAATCATGGATAACAAACACCACTGCTTTGTACATGGATGCCTTGTCCTAGCAAGGGATACAAGAGCCGTATTGTTAGCATTGTATAATACGTACAAGGTACCTCTGCAACTGAATTATTCTTAGTTATTTATATATATATATATATATATTTTTTTTTTTTTAATTTTAATTTATTTCTTTCGAAAGTGTACTTTCTATCACATATTATTGCACTGTCTAGTTAGGCCTGGGCCTAGCCCTAGTCTTATTTTGAATGCCTCATCGTCATCCGCTACACAGTACATCAGTAGCTCCCCCCCCCCCCCCCCCCCC